ATTGCACCATAATATAATTGTAACATAATATAATTGTACCATAATATCATTGTACCATAATATAATTGTACCATAATATCATTGTACCATAACATCATTGTACCATAATATCATTGTACCGTAATTGATTAGTTAAATCGTTTATGCCGAAGAGAAACAATGTGAAATTAAATTCTTTTGATTTTCAAAACGTATCTACAAACCAATATAGAACGTCAGTGTCAGATCATGTGACCTGACGTCATGTCAGATCACGTGACCTAACGAAGTGTCATATCATGTGACCTAACGAAGTGTCATATCATGTGACCTAACGACAAAAATATTTCAAAAATGACAAGCTGACCTACACTCATGAATAGGACATTGAAAAAATATTCCGTCACTGATGTTTTACAGACAGTGTACTTTCTGAAGTTCTGTTAAGATATTTGTAATCGTGTAATCTAAAATCTACACCAACACTTTCATTTTGTATGGGGTGATATTTTATTAAACATCCAATATAAAAGAATTCAATTCCATTTGGCGCGCTAGCTGTCAAAGTTAGATCAGGGGTGTATCTGTAGTGGGGCGGGATTGGGGGGGGGGGAGACATTACAAAACCCCCACAATTTTATGGTTGCAAAAACATCATACAAACAAAAAATAAATTTTTAAAAAATTAAATTTAAATTTAAAAATTGGTTTAAATAATGAAATTTAATCTGGCTAGAAAATACTTGAATTGCCACATTGGCGTACGGTTTTGTAACTCCAAATAACGTTAGAACTATTAATATTAAACCTTGTATTATTACACTGACAAGCTTGAGAATATTTCTGTTGTAAATATTAGAATAATATTTTATGTTTTTATTGGGCGCTATGGTACTGGTTAGATTGTAAATGTATGCAACAACCATATTAAAACGTACGATCGATCCTAACACAAGGACATTCAAGGTTTTAGTGTGGACTAGCATAGCAAGTATCAAGCACAGCATTAAAGTTAGGTATCTGGCTTAAGTTCAATTCTATGTTGTTATTTTAGTATCATGCTGAAATAAAATTGTAAGTTGATGTTTTTTTAAACAGTCCTAGTTTTTCGAATATATTGTGCATAACGTTAATTATTTTGTTTTGAATTCAAAATTATTATTTTTTAAATATAACTTTTTAGCTCAAATTTCTATCTGGCAACCTAGTAGTACAAATCTTGTTTAGAATCGAATGTAAATGATACGTGATTTCTATGCTGTATTTAAATATATAAAACGGTTTTCATATTCTGTCTAGGGCTCCTAATTGTTAGTCAAAGTAAAAGTTCGTTTGCTAAATTATAAGTCATTATCAGGTTGATTATAAAATTAATTTTTATCAATGAAAGATTGATTAAATCTGCCTTCTTTGATGATATTTATATATAGGCCTATATATATATATATATATATATATATATATATATATATATATATATATATATATATATATATATATATATATATATATATTTATATATATATATATATATATATATATATATATATATATATATATATATATATATATATATATATATATATGAGTATTTGTGTAAAGAAGACTAGCTCACTTTTCATAAACCCAGGTGAAAAGCCCCCAAAAACTTAGATGGAAAATAAATGTCATCCTGGGCTACACCCCCTATCCTTCCGAACCCACTCACCTTGCTACGTCACTGACTGTAATTATGTACTCGATTCTGTAAACCGAAGTTCCTTTATGAAAAACCCTTCTCCGTCTTGTACCTATCTAAAGAAATTAGAATTTCGTCTTTCTAGACCCTACAGTAAGTAGTAAGCCTGCACATTTCTTCACTATATATGTATAGGCGGAACTAAATTTGTAGACCAATGTGTAATACAATCGTAGGATTTTACGACCATACAAAATAAGTCTTGTTTAACGACCGTTCTTTACAACAAAAGGGAAGTAACCTTGTCAATGACATGAAGGGGAAAGAACTAATTCAAGCTGACGAAATATTACATAGAGCATAGAAATATAGTCAGTCTATACTGGTGAAGTCTAGTACCTTCAAGGAAAGATGATGCAATGTGTTAAATTGTAATGTCTTTTCTAATCAATAGTCATACATACATTCTTCTTCAAAAATATTTTTGTGTTCGGCATTTAGTGTTTACACTTGGATTCGAACCCAGTAATCAAACCTGATATTTGGCACTGGGGGACCCTGCAAGCCAAACAAAAGGTTTACAAGTTGGTTGGTTAAACAACTCCTCTATTTACTTGAGGAGGGGGTCAGGTAAAGGTCCCATTTCGAACCTGACGGTCCATGTGACCAGAGTTTCTTCCAGGCATCTCTTCGGGGGGCGAAGCCCCCCCCCCCCCCCCCCCCCCCCTCCCCGAAAAAAATCTACCGCCCCCCCCCCCCCGAACGAAATGAAATTTATAGAATTTATATAGAAAATATATACTTTTAACAGTGTCGCCCCCCCCCCCCCCCGAAGAAAGTCTACCGCCCCCCCCCCCCCCCCGAAAATTTCAAGTGCCCCCCCCCCCCCCCCCGGAAAAAAAGTCTGGAAGAAACACTGCATGTGACAAGTGAAGTAGAGCTCACCTGTTTATGGGATCTCGGAATATTAAGGGATAGTGTGGTCATCACTATGTCCAGCCGTCTTTTCTTTCCCAAACGTGAGTTAGGTACTCTTCAGAGCTGGGTAGACTAAAGGATGCTCTACTGTTTTGAACCCGGATTCGAACTCGAGACTTTCGTTATAGCACAGATTATGGTGAGTGACCATAATATACTGGGTTTAAAGTGCTCTCTTTTTGTCACAAAAGAATTTTTTAGATCACTCTGCGTTTGTTCTTATACCTTAATTCTATCAAGTAAGGGACAACTTTGAAGGTTGAACGGTAAAATGTTGCTTAAAACATGAAGCCATACTTATGTTAAAATAACAGTGTAAGTACATAAATACTTACACTACTTTTGTACTATATTCAGTGATAGTGTGGGTCCAATTCGTCTATAAATAACGATTTATACTCAAACTTATCCTTAAGTATTGACTCAAATTAGCCAGAAACTGATTTAAATTTAATTTTAAAAAGCCCCATATTCACTTTCCGACAAATAAAAAATAAGTAACCATAATTCAAGCTTTTTCTTCTTCTTCTTCTTCGTTCTTAATTATTAGTGTTGAAGAGGATCGAGATTTATCTGCCAGTGGGTTTGAACTCGAGACTTTGTTCGAATTTATCAACCATGAGCTTTTTGCCGAATCGACCACGCCTCCAACACAATTAAGCGTTACGTGTCAACTGGTTATGCGCCATTGAGGCCATTGACTCCGATTTCAGCCTGCTTTTCTTTTTGGATTTGCTTCCATAGCCTTTGTCCAACCAAGAACAAACTACAAGCAAATAATTATATATTTTATTAATATTTTTACCTTTGCAACTTAAAAAAAAAACATTCTTCACATTTCTTAATCCTTCCCTTCTCAATTAGAATTGGATATCATTAATTACGCACAATCTTTTGTAGTAACTATGTATTCTAAACTCAACATATGTTGTAAAACCCATGTATGTAAATTACCTACACATTGGGGTAATTTAATCCTACCTTCATTAAACTGAACAGAAAAAAAAATGGTCCGCAGTTTTTCATTTACACAAAGTCTTCACGCATGGATGAACTCCACGTGTCAAAAAACTACCAACCCGATCAACGACAGAGTTCGTTCAACGGTTCGACACCGTCAATATCGGTGTATAACGATCAATTATTTCAGGGCTGAATGTTCGATCAGTGTTGAGATCGATAATGTCTATTGTTTTACACCTGTATGATTAGATCCAAGATTTTGTTCGACTACTTCGTGTGATTGTATTACACATTGAATCTACGCACATTGTTTTAAATTAATCTGACCTTGTATTGATATCCCAACACAAAATGACATGACATCTTTCTAATAAGCACACAAAAGAAAAATATTTCAAGAAGTTAATAAAATGTATAGTTAGATTCTAAAGCCAAGGGTTATTTAAAGTACTTTTAAAAATCGAAATCGTTAATTAAAATAAGTATCATTACAACGGTACATCTAATACATTTTTATACAATAAAAACCTTCATATATTGCTGATATATATATATATATATATATATATATATATATATATATATATATATATATATATATATATATATATATATATATATTCAAAATTTAGTACAATAGTTTGTTTTGTTTTGTTTTTATTTTTAAAAATATTCAACTCAATAATTGTTTTAAAATATTATTTTGTCTCCAATTTTGACCATAACATTTGTTTTGTTTTCAGAAAATACGGACAACTTTTATGATTTAACGGCTTCAAAAAAAGAGAGAACCTTTTTTTCTGATGATCTTTCAGGATAGTGTAACAAAATAAAATAAATATTCACAGTTTTGAGTTTAAAAGCATCACTAATGTTTGGAATAAGATGAGCATTCGATAGCATTAACCGGAAACTTGAGCTGCTTTACCTGAGTTAAGGGTCAAGGTCGGGGGTCGACCGGAAGTCTGGAAGGTCGAGGAAATGAACCCAACGGGGGACGGAGACCAGAGGCTTGACGGGAAAGACAAACACCAGAACGAGGCCAACAATAACAGGGACCAGACTGGTGCCAACGATGTGCAAACAGGCAACACACATATAGTAGACACGGTTACGAGGAGGGAAGGGAAAGGTGGCAGGAATGGAGCAGACGACGGACGAAATGGCGGCGATGTGGAGAGAGGCAGCAATCAGGATGTGGGGTCCCTGATAGAGGCTGAAATCAAGAGGACCATCTCACAGACATGGCACGCACCAGACGGAGGGTAGGTTGGACGTCAGGTGTACATTATATATATATATATATATATATATATATATATATATATATATATATATATATAGTTTCGAAGTAGTACAGGAGAGCTTGGTATTTTTAAGGGTTGTTTGGGTAATGACTATAATGAGGTTTATTATCTGTGAGGGTCACTTTTAATTTTTGACAGATAAAACCAATAGAATAAAAAGATTCTAAAATTTTAATTCATTAAAATCATTTCGTCACAAAAATTGTTTTATCTAATTAAAAAAATTAATTCACAAAAGTTTTACCAGATAATTAGCTTTATGAACTTTTATTACATTTTTACCCGAATTTAAAAAAAAATTAAAAATGTAATTAAATCATATATTTTTAATCCCACTTTTAAATAATTTATTTTTTCAAGCTATGGCTGGGTTATAGTTCTGAGCAGTTTCCTGGTGAGTCTAATCGTTGACGGGCTGACTTACACGTTTGGCGTGTGCCTGGGAGAGTTTGAGCGCGCCTTCAGTGCCCCAAAGAGCACGATAGCCCTGGCCAGCTCGCTGCAAGTGGGGATTTATCTTCTGCTAGGTGAGTTCAGCTTGTGTCGCCTCGTTTTGAGATTGATTGGCTGTTGCCTCGTTTTAATATTAGATTGTGTCGCCTCGTTTTGAGTTTGGTTGGGTGTCGCCTCGTTTTAAGTTTCGTCTCGTTTTATGCTTTGATATGTATCTGACACAGGACCAGTCTACACTAACATGTATCTAACATGTATCTAACATGTATCTGACACGTATCTAACATGTATCTGACATGTATCCGACAAGTATCTGACATGTATCTGACATGTATCTAACATGTATCTGACTTGTATCTGACAAGTATCTGACACGGGTCTAGTCTAAACTAACAAGTATCTGACATGTATTTGACATCTGGCATGTATCTGACACGTATCTTACACGTATCTGCCATGTATCTGACATGTATCTGACATGTATATGACATGTATCTGACACGTATCTGACATGTATCTGACATGTATCTAACATGTATCTAACACGTATCTGACATATATCTAACATGTATCTAACATGTATCTAACATGTATTTGACATGTATCTGACAAGAATCTGTATCTGACACAGGTCCAGTCTACAGCGCTGTCACCAACAGATTCGGATGCCGTAAGGTCATCATCATCGGTTCCATCATCGCCGGCATCTCTTTTATCGTCAGCTCTTGGAGCAACGGCGTCACCATGCTCATCCTGATATACGGCGTCATTGGGGGTGAGTACTTAAAGTACTGAGTACATGGTATACGGCGTCATTGGGGGTGAGTACTGAAAGTACTGAGTACATGGTATACGGCGTCATTGGGGGTGAGTACTGAAAGTACTGAGTACATGGTATACGGCGTCATTGGGGGTGAGTACTTAAAGTACTGAGTACATGGTATACGGCGTCATAGTAGGCGGGTACTTCAAGCACTGAGAATACAGTGTATGGGGTGATACTTGGTGCATAACTGGTACTGAGTACAGTGTTTGTGGAAATAGGTGATGTTTGCACCTTGTAGTCTGCTAACCCGATAGTCTCGAGTTCGAATCCAGGTTCAAGTTGATGATGTTTCATTCAAGGTGGGAGTGATTATTTTTACAAACACCAGGCATTTTGCTAATGTGTGCATAATGCAACAATTTCTCTTTTAATATTTGGGTTGTCTCAAGGATAACATTTTTACACACCTTTAATTATGCGAATGTATGCAGCTATTTCTTTGTGATGGGTTCCACTTTGTCAGGGTTAGACTTTGTCAGGGTTCCACTTTTTACAAACACTGATAATAATGCTAAGATATGCTCAATGCAACCCTTTCTCTGTCAGGGTCGGGTTTTCAGGGTTGCGATTTTTACAAACCCCGTAGCTAACGTATGCAACCCTTTTCTATGCCTGGGTGCGGGATTCATCAGTGTTCTAATCAGGGGCGTAGCGAGGGGGGGGGGGCGGACCGCACCGGGTGACACCATTTAGGGGGGTGACACCAAGGCAAAAAATAGCAAAATATATAGAGAAAAACTTGAGGGGGGGATGCAAATCGAAAGTTTGAGGGGGGGGGGGGGGGGGGGGGGTGACACCATTAAGTGCCGCACCGGGTGACACCCGACCTCGCTACGCCACTGGTTCTAATTATGCTAATGTATGCAAACCTCTCTATATTTCTCTGCCAGGGTTCGGGTTTTGTCATGGCTCAAATGTTTACAAACCCCACTAATTACGCTAATGCAGGGGTCGGCAACCTGCGGCTCGCGAGCCGCATGCGGCTCTTTTGATGCCAAGATGCGGCTCTTCAGCTCCATGCACAAATATTAATAATTATTTTATTTTCGAAAATTAAAAACATTGTTCTACAGCATTCGGTGATGAATGATATAATAATAAATATAAACAATAAACACTCGCTATTATATCAGAATATTTATTTACTCCATATTTCAATGTACTTTCTATTATATATATATATATATATATATATATATATATATATATATATATATATATATATATATATATATATATATATATATATATATATATATAAACCTAAAAAAATAATAATATATTGAAATAAAAAATGTGTGTGGCTCTTTAAAACTGGGAAATTTTGTAAATTGCAACTTTTGGCTCTTCCGTCTCAAAAGGTTGCCGACCCCTGCGCTAATGTATGCAACCCCCTCTCTCTCTCCTAGGGTTCGGGTTTCGTCAGAGTTCGAATGTTTACAAACCCCACTAATTACGCTAATGTATGCAACCCCCCCTCTCTCTCTTTCTCTGCCAGGGTTCGGGTTCGGCATGATGTACCTACCCGCGGTCGTCGCTGTAAGCGTATACTTCGAGAAAAAACGCGCCCTGGCCACCGGCATTGCCGTCTGCGGCTCCGGCATCGGCACGTTCATTCTGGCACCGGTCACGGAAATCCTGCTCAACGAGTACGGCTGGAGATGGACGCTGATGATCCTGGGTGCCATCATCTTGAACGGCATCGTCGCGGGGGGTCTGGTGAGACCCCTGGAGATGAAATCTAGTTCGGAGGAGAAGGCGGTCTCCGACAAGAAGAAGAAGAAGCTGGGCGCCGTGAATGGGGATAAGAAAGAGGCGATGCCGTTGATAACGGTGACGGATGAGGAGGCGAACACGAAGGTGTTCGGGGCGAAGAAGACGCAGGATAGGCTGATGGTGCAGGATGCTAACGTGTTGTCGAACTCAACGCCGAATATTGTTATCGAGGTGTCCGATCTGAAAGAGGTAGGTGTGGTTTTATTTTTTGACCTAGCACCAGTAGCGTAGCGAGGGGGGGGGGGGACTTATGGACCCGGGCGCCGACTTTAGGGGGCGCCAAAATGGGTAGGAAAAATAAATTGAAAGGTTGAAAGGGGTGCAAATTGAAAGTTTGAGGGGGGGGGGGGTGCAAATCGAAATCTTGATTTGAGGGGGGTTGCAAATGGAAAGTTTGAGGGGGGTTGCAAATCGAAATCTTGAGGGGGGGTGCAAATCGAAAAGTTTGTCCCCGGGCGCCGGGAACGGTCGCTACGCCTCTGCCTAGCACGCACATGGGGTGGAGGTGGTTGAATCGGTAAAGCTCATGTTTGCTGAACCGAAAAGTCCCGAGTTCAAACCCCCTCGCAGCTGAGGCTCAATAGCTGGGGACAGCAACTCATATAGGATAGGAAATTTAAAAAAAAATCAAAGAACTAATGCTAACACGGCATCATTGTGCGAATGGTCTTTAAGTAAAGGTCACCGGCCAGGGCGCTAGAGTTCCTTCATCCTTCCTAGATAAACTTCACTAGTTTGTGACCAAGGTGAGTCACCTAGATGGAGGCATCTGGCTGTGGTCAGGCATGGAGAGGGGTGGGCGTCGCTATACGACTCATATCCCTAGACACACCACTAGGTGGTGCCCCAGCAAATGTTAAGGGATTAATTATATTCGGATTTTAGCAAGCATTCACCAATATGAGTGTGTGTATGGGGAGGGGTCAAAGGTGAGAGGTCATTACAGTCAGGGTGTGAGGGGGCTGTGTTGTAAACTTGTGACTTTTGCAACTAACTACAGAGTTAAAAACTAAAGTTCCCCTTCCAAACCTGACGGTCTATGGGGGCAAGTGAAGTAGAGTTCACCTATTTCAATGACCTCGGCAACCAGGGCGTAGCGAGGGGGGTGCGGGGGGTGCGGACCGCACCGGGTGACACCATTTAGGGGGGTGACACCAAGGCAAAAAACAGCAAGATATATAGAGAAAAACTTGACGGGGGGGGGTGCAAATCGAAAGTTTGAGGGGGGGTGCAAATCGAAAACTTGGGGGGGGGGGGGTGCAAATCGAAAGATTGAGGGGGGTGAAAATCGAAAATTTGAAAGTTCGTCCCCGTGACGCCTCTGGAGGGGGGGGGGCTGACACCATTAAGTACCGCACCGGGTGACACCCGACCTCGCTACGCCACTGTCAGCAACTCCCGAGTTAGTTGAGTATTAAGTCTGTGTCTAATCTTGTTTATCCTCCTCCCCCCACCCCCACAGGAAGTGCTGTACAAGAGGAACCGCGCCAACTCCACCCAGAGCGGGACCCTGATCTCTGACGACAAGCCCCGGCAGAGATCCAACACGCTGGACGCCGCCAAACTGTCCAGCACGGCGGTTGACAAGCCCGTCGGTGGCGCCACCTCCCACAAAAGCCTCTCGCACGCGCCACTAGGTAAGTAAGGTCAAGGCTGGCTGCGATTCTCACTTTATATTGTTATTCAACTTAATAGAATACGTAGTCTACTAAGTAATCTTCAGTAAACAGGTGACAAGCAGTCATATGACAACATTAGGTAAACAGATGTATTAAGTACATCTATGTTTACGACGACTAACAAGAATGTCTCAAGTTCGGATCCCGGGTTCGAGTCCGTAGGACGACCATAAGACCACCCAAATCTGGTGGTTACCAGCCTCACGTAATTAAAATCAAGGGGTCTGGGTATAGTGCTGACCACATTACCCTTTTATATGCCGAGGTCATTGAAACAGTTGAACTCTACTTCATTTGTCCCGTGTGTCTTGGGCATGAACGGGGAAAGATGATGATGATGATGCATGTATATTAAACATTCACGATGAAGACATGCAAAAGCTACTAATTATCACCAAGGACAGATTCATGTTTAGGCAAAATAAACCGGGAGTGATCTCCCCTAAACTTTCTCGAATATTCTTATATAAAACAACAGGGGATGGTAACTCGGGATATAGATCTAGTTATGATTTTTAATCCATTTTAAATACTTAAACTTTTTAAAATAGAATAGAATCTCATCGCAAAAAGTATTGCGCACCAAGCGAACGCCGAATAATGATGTTCATAATGGTGCGCAATATTATTAGTACTTTATAAATTTAGATGCGTTTTTGAGAAATCGGAAATAGCGTAAATTAGTACTTCCCGTCAACGGAAATTACTCAAAATTTAACAGAAGGTAGAAAATTAGATCTTTTACTTACAGGTGAAATTTCATTTATCTATCTGAAATAGTACTCAAGTTTTAGGCTTTTGAAAAATTCAAAGTAGAAAAAGTACCACTTCCGGTTATCGGAAATCGCTCAAAAGTTGATACGGATCTACGATTTTGATAAAATACTTATATATGAAATTTCATCAACCTAGCTGTAACAGTACTCAAGTTATCGTGTTTACACACACACATACACACAGACACACACACAGACACACAGACATACGGACAAGATTGCAAAATTATGTTTCTCCGTATCAGTGAGGTGTAAAACGTCGAGATTTGTAAAAATTTCGATTTTTTTTTATTTTGCACGATTACAATACTTTCTCTATACTACGTATATACGAGAAAGTAAAAAAGAGAAGCAACAAAGTATATTTCAAACAATTGTCTAGGTCACAGAGCAATAAGAAACTTTTCAGAGAATTTAAATATCCTGTTGCCCCCGCAACATTTTTTTCTGAACAGACGTCCACGAGATTCTAAAAATGTTTAAACAACGGGATTTTTTAAAATTTAATCAAAGAATGCAGCTCGGTCCTCTTTAATGTACCGACTTGATTTAACCCCCGTCATCCAAATTAGTCCTTACGTCAGATTATCTGACATGTCATACATGACATCCATGTCATACATGACATCCATGTCATACATGACATCCATCATTCTCCCACTCCTCAGGTTTATCCTATGTCAGCATCTCCGACATGTCATACATGACATCCATGTCATACATGACATCCATGTCACATGACATCCATGTCATACATGACACTCATGCCATACATGACATCCATCATTCTCTACCTCCCCAGGTCTGTCATATGTCAGCATCTCCGACATGCAGCTGAACAAGATCCGCGACCAGGTGCAGGTGACTCTCTCTAGGAAAGACCTTCACCTTGCCGGTTCATTGGCTGACGGGTTGGAGGTCAATCTACGTCAGGGCGGGGAGAGGCTGGTGGTGCAGAGTATAAAGTGAGTGGGGGTGGGGGTGTGGGGGTGGGGGGAGAGAGGCTGGTGGTGCAGAGTATAAAGTGAGTTGGTGTTGGGGGTGGGGGTAGGTTGGGTGGGGGTGGGGGAGGGAGAGGCTGGTGGTGCAGTGTAAAGTGAGTTGGGGTGGGGGTAGGTTGGGTGGGGGGTGTGGGGGGCTGGTGGTGCAGAGTATAAAGTGAGTGGGGTGGGGGTGGGGGGAGGGGAGGCGGGGAGAGGATGGTGGTGCAGAGTATAAAGAGAGTTGGTGTGGGGGTGAGGGGAGGGGAGGTGGGGGAGAGGCTGGTGGTGCAGAGTATAAAGTGAGTGGGGGAGTGAGGGTGGGTTTTGGGGAGGGGAGGGGAGGCGGGGGAGAGGCTGGTGGTGCAGAGTATAAAGTGATTTGGTGTGGGGGAGTGGGGGTGGGGGAAGAGGCTGGTGGTGCAGAGTATAAAGTGATTTGGTGTGGGGGAGTGGGGGTGGGGGAAGAGGCTGGTGGTGCAGAGTATAAAGTGATTTGGTGTGGGGGAGTGGGGTTGGGAGTGGGGGAGTAGTGGTGGGGAAGAGGCTGGTGGTGCAGAGTATAAAGTGAGTTGGTGTGGTGGAGTGGGGGTGGGGTGTGGGGAGGGGAGGGGAGGCGGGGGAGAGGATGGTGGTGCAAAGTATTGAGTTTGTGTGGGGGTGGGGTTGCGGGGGAGAGGTTGGTGTTACAGTGTATAAAGTCTGCGACAGAGATGTGAGTGTAGTGTGTGGCAGTATTTTTGTATGTGTGAGCTGTTTCTGTGTGGGAGAGAAGTGAATCTTGTTGTGCAGAATTCAATGTGGGGATATGATGAAGTATTTGTGTGTGGCTGTTGGTGTACGTGTGTGTGGCAGTTGGTGTACGTGTGTTTTGATGGTTCAGGTCTAGAGTTCTGCTGTGTTAGGGGATGAATCGTATTGAACATGACACTAAGGCTAGCATTTGAAGTTGTAACATATTGTGGTCTAGGGATGGGGGAACGGTATTTGTGGTGTTGTAGTTGTTGTCTGAGGTGGTAGTTCGGATGTAGGGAGGGGGTGCTAGAACATAAATGAAGGCAGTTATGGATGTCATGGTTTTAGAATCGGGTTATCTGGGAATAGTGCTTGTATCTAAACTTAAGGGTAGGATATTTTCTTTATACATGAGGCGGCAATTAGGGTGTGGGGGAATTTAAAAAGAAGCTAAAATTTCCACTGCTACGTTTCAAGAGAATATTTACATAGATTTTTATATATGCCCATGTTACCCATATTCATTATTTATAGTAAAATATAAATCAATGTATAGCTTTTTGATTTTGTAAACACAGATCTTTATCAAGCGAAGGTTCCACGATATTGTATGAGGAGAATGAAGAAAAAAAAGGAGGGTTCTGGAAATGTCTTCCAGAATCTGCCAGAGAAACGGTCGAGGAGATGCTTAATTTAGATATTTTAAAGGTAGGGATCGTAAACAGTTTCTTCCTTCACTTTGTTGGTAGTGCAAGAAGATAAGAATAGGTTTCTTGGACGTACGCTCTTAGCATCTCTGAGCAGGGATGACGAATTGTAGTGTGTCTGAATGGGTAAAATGCGATCCAACAGCGAGATTAGCCAAGTACAATGAACCTCTGATAATGAACGGTGTGATGGGGTGGTAGAGAGTACGACTGCTGAGCTGAATATTACCAGTTCGAAACCCTAACTCGAGTCTTTAGGACGGTCCCCATCCATATATGATGGACACGTCACTTTATGGAAATTAATGCCTGCTTGGAATAGAGTAGACGTGACCACACTCTCCTTTCATATGCCATGATCACGAAACATAACTCTACTTCATCTGCCCTATCAAGGGCGAAGGTGTAACTTGACTTATTTATCAGATAAGTCTAAAACCAAGAAATCAAATTCAGTTTATATTTAGCTTAACAAATATACAGATAATTTCTGCTAAGAAAGAACATTATAGCCAGGCTATTGAATATCTAGATAAATAATTACTGTAAAGAAAGATCTGTCTCGCTATAATGTTCTTTTTTTACAGTAATTATTATCTAGGTATTCTATAGCCTACTTTTTTCTTTTCACACTGAAAACACCGAGAATACCTGATAAAGGGGCTCGGAGTGGTCGGGTAGATAAGGCACATGGTTGCTAAGCTGGAAAGTCGCGAGTTCGAACCCCGAGCTGATAGCTGGGGACAGCAACCCATTAGAAGAGACATCTCCAAAATCAAACAACTGCTGCCTTCTAGTTTGTTCTTGGTTGGACAAAGGCTATGGAAGCATATCTAGAGAGAAAAGCAGGCTGAAATCGGAGTCAACTAAAAATACGGTGCAAAACAAATCGACACGTAATACTTAATTGTGTAAGAGGAAATCCCGTCCAACATTAGAATTAAGATCGAAGGAGAAGAATCTTGGCAGAGGCGTAGCGACCCTTCCGGCGCCCGGGGACAAACATTCTATTTGGCGCCCCCCTCGGGAGCAAATTTTCAATTTGCACACCCCCCCCCCCCCTCAAACTTTCGATTTGCATCCCCCCCCTCAAACTTTCGATTTGCAACCCCCCCCCTCCCTCAAACTGCAAAAATGCAGCTAAAATAACATCTTAATTTGTTTTTACAACCCATTTTGGCGCCCCTTAAGGTCGGCGCCCGAAGACATATGCCCCCCCCCCCTCCATCGCTACGCCTCTGAACCTTGGTTGTCGTTGTTTCCATTCTGTATGTCCAGGATACGATTTTAATCTCTACCAAGCATTTCAACTTTGCCTTTATATTTGTCTACAGAATAAAAGTTTTTGGTTTGTCCTACTTGGCAACTTCTTCTGTATGATTGGCTTCTACGTGCCCTTTGTTTATGTGCCAGAGAGGGCATTAAAGATAGGAATAGGACCCGAGGAATCCGCTTTTCTTTTATCCATTATTGGTAAGCTTTCATATCACTGGTACTGTTCTTACGTTTGAATAGGTTAATTTGTTAATGATTATACATTCCTGTGTTTAAATTTTTATTTAACCGATTTCAGAACTAGTTCGGCTTTTAATACTACTTATAGTTATTTATTTTTTATATACATTCTATTAGAAAGCAAAAGTAGCACCTTAAACTAGTGTAGCATAAAATCACAAATTAATGTTAAACTAGAGAAATATTTTTTTTATCTTACAATATACTTAAGACCTAGTCTCAAAGATTTATCCATCTTTATCTATTATCTCAGAAAATAGAATTATATCGATTTTTTAAAAAGCTGAAATAAAATAGAAAGGTTCGATAACCAGCTTAAAATGTTATTGTTGAAGTTGCGTCCCTTTGTTTTATTACCAACACAATTCAATAGCGTAAAACATTAAGATAACTCTGAAAAGTATTAAAATTTGAAGCATCCTGTTGATTCGGTGATCACCAACACACTTAAGCTTCCTTTTGTTTTAATTTTTAAGTGGCCTCCTTTTGTTTTTACGATCACCTAAACCTTAAATGATAGTAGCGTCCCTTTGTTTCAGGGATAACTATTACATTATATTACAGTAGCGTCCCTTTGTTTCGGGTATCACCAACACATTTTTAGCTTTCCTTTGTTTACAGTACTTATTTATAGTACTGACCCTTTATTTCACTTATCCCCCTTACATTTTATTACAGTACTGTCCCCTTATTTTCACGTATCATCCTTATATTTTTAGCGCAATTTCCATTCTGGAGAATTGCGTTTATTAACCCGTCATTTCTGGATGTATGAATGTATAAATGTATAAATGTATGAATGGATGGATGGATGGATGGATGGATGTGTGTCCGCAGCTTTAAGTCGTATCTCCTCCTCAACGAAGCAATATCGATGACTAGTTCCAAAAGCAATTATGTTAAGCAAGTTACGAGGATGACCATAGGCTATAAAAATTCCGGGTTTCTTTCATGGATTTCCTGGAAAAGCCAAAAAACCTCGGAAAAAAAAAGTTTTTGGCCCATATCTCGGCAACCAGACCACTTAGCGACTAGAAACATGTACCAATCGATTCCTGCCATAATTTAGAACAATATTGCCGAAGAAAGTTTTCAAAAATATCCTTTCGTTCGGTCACAAAAAATTTTTTGAATTAATTAAAATTTGGACCGAATTAGTAGGCATTTTTTTCCAACCACACCACACGCGTCATCACGTTCAATAGCTGCACCATCACGTTAAATGGCTGCGACATCACGTTCAGTAGCTAGGCGCGCAATGGTTTTTAGTCATGTAACTCTATTGTAAATAAAACATGTAAAATACTGAAATTTTTTTTTAATAAAAAACGTTTTAATAACTAACCAATGGTTTTACTAACCCTGCTCTTGATTTACGCTACGACAGAGCTATTTTTAGATAACATAAGGAAATTGCGCTAAAATTGTCACTAGACTTTTTAATTAACTTGTTTATTACAGTACAGTCTCTTTATTTCACTTATCACCCTTATATTTTATTACATTAGCATCACTTTATTTTACGGATCCATGTTTTTTTTATTAGTTCTGTTCCTCTTATTTCACTTATCACCCTTATATTTTATTACAGTACTGTCCCTTTATTTCACTTATCTCCCTTATATTTTATTACAGTTCTGCACCTTTATTTCACTTATCACCCTTCGATTTTATTACAGTACTGCCCCTTTATTTCACTTATCACCCTTATATTTTATTACAGTTCTGCACCTTTATTTCACTTATCTCCCTTATATTTTATTACAGTGTTGTCCCCTAATTTTCAGGTATCACCAACACTGTCGGTCGAGTAGCCACCGGTGTGATCATCAACTTTGTCAACATCAAGAGCGTCATGGTGACCAGTGTCGCCCTCTGTCTGTGTGGGGTCATGACCATCGTGTTTCCCTTCTGCCACAACTACGGGTCTCTGGCTGCCGTGGCGGCCATATTTGGTCTCTGTGTCGGTAGGTCCGGCTCTTGATAATTTGACACCCACGCACGTATTGCACACACGGGAGGACATTACCACCCTCCACCCCCCCTCGTGTCATTTACAGCTCCCACCTGGGTTATGTCTCTTTCCACGACACCCCCCCCCCCCCCCGCTGAATTATCCATCTGGGTTATGAACTTATAACCACCACCCCCCCCCACCTCTGTCGTTCTCATCTGCCTAAATTGAATTACCCTATGTTAATTAACCCCCCCCCCCCCCCCGCGCCATTCGAGTTATTTCCCCTCCCCTGACATTAACCCCTCCAGATTTACTATCATTTTGTTCATTACCCCGTCCCTTGTAATGTCGTCCCTCTCCTCTTACAACATCTGTCAATTACCCCCCCCCCCCTTCCATTCTGTTTTATGAAGAGTGCGGGGGGGGGGGGTAATTGACAGGATTAATGGCAGGGGATGATGACCGCGGATAATCTATCTGGGAGTGTGAGTAATGTCATAGATTTGCACACTCACAGACATAATAGACACACATAAAAACATACCCGCACGTGCATAGAACCACGCATACATTAGAAATTAAAAAATTATCCTAAGTCGCTAGGCACAAAATATGCAGCGACACCCACGCCATCGCACACTCATCACCTGTGTAGCAACATGAATCATGCGATCAACGCTGAGCAGAATTTCTACTATTTAAATACACACTTATAAGTTTAGTATCTCATCCACATGACTCATGCCAACAATGCTGAACAGAATTTCTGCTATTTAAATATACAAATATAAGTTTAGTATCTCATCCATATGACTCATGCCAACAATGCTGAACAGAATTTCTACTATTTAAATACATAAGTATAAGTTTAGTATCTCATCCATATGACTCATGCCAACAATGCTGAACAGAATTTCTGCTATTTAAATATACAAATATAAGTTTAGTATCTCATCCATATGACTCATGCTAACAATGCTGAACAGAATTTCTACTATTTAAATACACAAGTATAAGTTTAGTATCTCATCCATATGACTCATGCCAACAATGCTGAACAGAATTTCTGCTATTTAAATATACAAATATAAGTTTAGTATCTCATCCATATGACTCATGCCAACAATGCTGAACAGAATTTCTGCTATTTAAATATACAAATATAAGTTTAGTATCTCAACTACATGAATCATGCAATCAATGTTGAGCATAATTTCTACTGAAATTTAAATATACAAGTATAAGTTTAGAATCTCTTACATAGCTTTTAATTTGTTACAGTTCTCACTACACAACTATGACAATATTGTATTACAAATAAATTTGACCGCAACTTTAATCATTTGTGGCGTTGTTGTTTATAAATTGTTTTGAAAACCAAAATTTCAGCTGCGTATATCTGTTCTAAAACTTTACTTTTCATTCAAACATCCTACATCCAAATTTGTACTAAACTTTACTTTTAGCTGTGTACAGTTAAATTCGTACTAAACTTTACTTTTCTTTTAGATGTGTGCATCTAAATTTAAACTAAACTTTTCTTTTCTTCCAGCGGCGTACATCTAAATTTGAACAAAACTTTCCTTTTCTTTCAGCGGCGTACATCTAAATTTGAACTAATCTTTACTTTCAGCGGCGTATATCTCCCTGTGTTCCATCATACTGTGTGAGCTTCTGGGTGTTGAAAATCTGACCAACGCCTTTGGCTATGTCATCCTGTTTAGAGGGATCGCCTGCATCATAGGGCCGCCTATGGCAGGTAGGTTAACTATAAGAGAAACACGATTTTAGAGGTATCGCCTGCATCATAGGGCCGCCTATGGCAGGTAGGTTAACTATAAGAGAAACACGATTTTAGAGGTATCGCCTACATCATAGGGCCGCCTATGGCAGGTAGGTTAACTATAAGAGAAACACGATTTTAGAGGTATCGCCTACATCATAGGGCCGCCTATGGCAGGTAGGTTAACTTTAGAGGGATCGCCTGCATCATTGGGCCGCCTATGGCAGGTAGGTTAACTTTAGAGGGATCACCTGCATGATAGGGCCGCCTATGCAGGTAGGTTAACTATAGAAGAAACACGATTTTAGAGGGATCGTGTAGGAGGTCGGTGTGGTCGGATCCGTTGCTGAACCGAAAAGTCTCGAGTTCGAACCCTCGGGCAGATGAGGCTTGTTAGCTGGGGACAGCCACTCTACTAGGAGAGACAACTCCAAAATCAAACAACTGTTGCCTTGTAGTTTGTTCTTGGTTGGACAAAGGTAATGGAAGCAAATCCAAAAAGAAAAGCAGGCTGAAATCGGATTCAACAGCTTCAATGTGGCATAACCAGCTGACACGTTTACTTAATTGTGTTGGAGGGAATCCCTTTACAACATAACAGTAAAAATGAGACGTCACACTTTTTAACCCCCCCCCCCCTTTCACCTCACACATCGTCATAAAACTCCCTCCCTCTACCATCGCAAAGTGTTTTGCCAAGGATGGACGACCCCTCCCCCCACTATGGACGACCCCCACTTATGGACGCCCCCCCCCTTCTATAGCCAGTCTGTAACAACATGGCTTCTCTTTTACCAGGTGCCATCATCGATGCCATGGGAGTGTTCGACCCCGCCTTTTTCGTGGGTGGAGGCATGATCGTCCTGGGCGGCCTGTCCCACTTCGTTTTATACGCACCCTGCATCAAGCCAAAGAAATCCTAACCGGCCATCCAACGTTGTCGGCCTTTACATTATCGGCATGTCCACCATAGAATCCATTATTTTAAACGTGCTGAACAAAACCAGTTTGAATGCATAGGTAAATGTGTTATACAACATTAGTGTTGAGTGCTGAGCCTGTTTTTTTTTAAATTAGCCACACATGACTTAATTATCATCATTGTTGAATTTTTTTTTAAAGTATTTTTTAGAGTATTCATCAAAATGTATTTCAAATTACGTTATGTTTTGTGTGTTTTCTTTATAAAAAAATATACCGCCGACGTTTGTTGTATAACGACGTCATTGATGTATGTTTTTTTTTCATAATAAAGTATTCGTTGAACTGTTGTTATATTTTTTTTAAACATTAGTGTTTGCGTTTTTTTTTTTACCTACATAAATCGAAAAACCAAATAATTATTAACGTGTCGTCCGTGTATGGCGATGTTAGAAAAAAAATATTCTACAGATGTACATCTAATCATGTTATACCCCATTTTAAAAGTAATCTTGTTTGTAATCGGTATGTCAAGCCGGATAAGACAAAACTCTAGTGACATATCGACGACCAATAAATGTTGAGCATAATTAACTTGATATGTTAATTGTAACTGTTGAATAGACTGATTAAAAAATATACGTTGTAGATTGATATTTTTCCGTGTTGAATTTTATGTATAAGGATATTAAAAAATCAGTGAAATGTTGTACATGCAATCAGATTGTTGGAAGGATGGAGATTAATAGTTTATGTTGACAACTGAACTGATAAAATTGCTATTGTAGTGGTTCTTAATCTGGGTTCGGTGAGCCAGTCATTAGTATGAGTATTAGTATCCGATCGCGAATCGTATGGTTCGCGATCGGATTCTGTCAATGCGGATGATAGGACTATTAACAATGGTTTAATGAATGGTTTGATATGAATCTGATAGGGTTCAGTACTTGCAAAAAGGTTAAGAACCACTGTGCTATAGAAATAATT